TGCAAAGCCACTGGCAATAGCGACCAAATTTTTTCCTGTCTTCCACTCTAATGCAGTTCTTTCCCAGAACCCAATAAATCTACAAACAAAGGAGATCCTGGGAAGCAGTGGGTTCTGTTTTCAAACCTTCATCTATCAGAATTCATAATACAGAAAGCCTTCCCACTGGCTTGCTTCTGTTCATCCTATAAGATGTTTGACTTGTAATGGGCTGGGGGAGGGCTGCCTGTCTGTTAGCAAGAGTTTGATTTGAAGACAACATCAGTTTTATCACACAGTCTTTCATTTTGGCGATTTTGAGTTTCAGAGAAAAGTGACAGAATTTATATCCAAAACAGCTCAGCTGACAGCAAATGTCCCTCATCTGAAGGATAGAAAGGGAAGCAGCTTTTTTATGATTCATGGGATCTGTTCCACCTACACACGCAAAAAACCACACTCCACAAACCATGGCGCAAGTCCAGTTCCTTCTGAGCTGTGTCTCCTTGAGTCTAGACCTATTTGTACTGTTCATATTTCTCAGTGGCTTCTCAGATCCTTTCCAAAGCAGTTGGGATGTATAAAAGAAATTCTCTGTAGCCCAATGAGCTCTGCACAAGAAAAAAACATCAACAATTCTGTGCATGCTGGAGCTACGTACATGCAAGGCAACCTTCCAGTGCTGTCTGAATTGTTAACAGTCTTGTCATATAATGAAAGGCGCTTCAAGGAAAAAAGTTATAGACATGCTGGAGCTTATCGCTATGCATGGCAGGACAGAACACAGGTGGTATTGCTTCCCGATGAAGTAAGTGATAAACTGGAAACATCCACCCATATTTCCCTGTGAGTCATTTCTTTATCTAGCCAGAACACCCTCCGAACTGCCTGCCGAAGCAGCAGGAGCAGGTGTCCGTACTCCTCTGTGCAGCTTCAGGAGCCTGGGCATTCCCAACACATTGCTAGGGCACATGCTGGAACAGCACAGGAAAGCTGTTTAAAAGTCTGTTGCACAAGGGTCTGTATGCCACAATTCCATGATCTTTCTGCTATTGTCAACTGCCTTTTTCAGAATAGACGGTGCTATCATCGAGCAATTAGTACAGCATCAGAGATGACATTGTGATCATCAGGAACACGCAGCAAGATTGGAAGATGCACTCAACATCACTGCTGTAAAGCTACAGCGTTGTAAACTGAGGAGCTATCAAGGAGTTTTGGCAACAAAGAACATAACCAGTTGCTGCCAAGGATGTTTTACTAAACAGTTTCATCCTATGAAGCACCATTTCTAGGCACCAGCTAAGGGGCAAGGCTGCATTACACACCTGGCATTGCCAGCAATAGCTTTGGAATGAGAAAGGCATGCTCCTGAGAGCTGCCATAGCAAATACAGAGCTATGAACCCCTACACACTGGATGGTTGCCATTTGGAAATTTTCCACCGCAAATTCCTGCCATTCAATCATCTTTTTGAGCTTATTGCAAAGGGATGTATAAAGCTATGAAAAAAAGTATCCTCACTGTATGCTGCAACAAAGCATGAAATACTCAGGAAACTAATGCTAACTCTGTATGCGTCACCTCCCCAAACATTGGGGCAACACTATCCCTGTTTGACTCCCAAGAGGAGCTCCAAAAGAGGATAACTCCTCTGGTTTGTTCCAAGGTCCAGCAGACCATCACGAGCTCGTCAAGATGAGCACAGGGTGATAGGAGAAGAGAATTCCCAAGAACTTGGGCTTTTTTTTTTTTTCCTTTTTTTTTTTTTTTAAACACAAGACACTAGGTCACGCTACTACATTTGCTCATAAGAGCAAACAGTATTCTGGTGCAGTGTGACTGGCTTGTTACGCATACAGGGAGACGGAGGAGAGACACATGGGTTTGGGCTCGACTACAGATATCGCTGAGCTAAGAGGAAGCTGCCTGCAGAAATTCAAGTTGCCTCAACACTAGGAATAATGCACACTGGATTTACATGACCACAAGGCAAAGAATCTCTTATGAAGACAAAGGAGCATAAAGCAGAATTGACACTATCATAACCACCAGAGTAGCATTTTTCAAATGAGTTTTCTATGAAATAAGCCTAGATCTGTTGTGATCACTTGATACCCTGAGAATTCCCAGTGTTTGTGTTTTATTATAGCTCCTGCATTTCACAAATGGACTAAGATCACTGGTAAAAAACAGTTTGTTCAAAGAACATCCCTGCCAAATTCTATTTTGAGAGAAAAAAATTATCAGTCAAGCGTTTTTTGGTTAGACACTTCATGCTTACTACTCTCTATTTTTTTGTAACAGATCTTTATTGTCAAAAACAGAGTTTTATTCTCTACTCTCTAAAGTACAGTCACTTAAAGGGGTTTTTTTAGAAAAAAATTAGGATTGTTGCCACCAAGAACATGACAGTAACTCACATGGGAGGAAGAGAAAAAGGGACAGTGACTGGTTATTGATAAAACTTACTGCTATTCTTGCCTACTAAGGCACACCGAACATTTTGAGCACAAGAAGAGAGGATATTCAAAAGCTACTAGCTCACATGAGCGTAAATGGCAGCTTCTGGAACAAAAAACTAAGATACAGGGCATATGCTGCAGAATGCATGCAATTAACAATGAAATTAATTTGTGAGGTTTACTAGTCACATTTCTCTTGCTCCCCTCCTGCTCTGCCCTGTGAGACACCAGACTCAGAGAGCATTCAAAGACCAGCCAGATTTATGGAGAACAAAGTGGTCAGCAGGCGCGTACAGCTCGACAGCACCTCAGTTTGTATCATGTGCATCAAAGTGGGCTCTGGCTTCCAGTAGCCCTTGCTAGACACCCTGACTTAGCACGTGCATTTTGTCTCCTGGTGTCCTACAGTAAAACATTACAGATTTCCAAAAAATACAAATTTCTTGTATTAAAAGCAAGCCTTGCCATGCAGCCAAATAATTGATAGCTTACTTGAGTACCACCAGTGGAGTTCTACACCTGTCAGTTTCAATAATGCATGAAACAAGTTCATTGCCCTGTGAACACAGGCTAAATAACAGGAACACAAAATCAACTTCAACTACATAAAGAACAGCCATACTACAAATACTTACTCACCTATATTACTTCCCTTGAATACCCTTAGCCACTTCTCCAACAGTCTGCAGCTTGGAAGCAGTTTCAATGCATTTATCAACCTTCAGCAGATTTTCTCCATTAATTTGTCCCATCTAGCCACGAACTCATGTTATTTTACTATCCTCAACCGCCTGAGAAAGGGAGTTCCAGCGTGGTGCCGTGACTGACCACCTCCTGTGTTTTTAAGCTACTACCATCTTTGGATGCTTGCTTTTATTGAAGAGGGCAATGAACAACTAAACCTATTTGCCCCCTATTTGCATGTTGAAGTTAAATTAAAAAAAAAAAAACAAACAACAAAAAAACCCAAAACAAAAACCCCAACAGTTTAGAAAACTACTAGTTTTGTTTTTTACAAGGGGAAGCGTTGTTAAAAAGCATTGTTAAAACCTGCTTTGAGTTCAGCTTCTCTTACTTAGACTTAACTATTTTGATATCTGTATAGAATACTTATTTATAAATTAAACTAGATTTTATAGTATCACAATATTTTTAATCACAATGGTGTTAGCTGCATTTATTTCCAGTGGAGAGCACTGGTATCCACCATTACATATCTCATCAGGCTTTTTATTCCAATCTCAGAAAAAATTAAAAAATTTTAAAAAACATGTTTGCTGAACACACAAATGGCTTCACTTTAATGGTTCAGTAGGAAAGAAAACATAACTTTAATACAAACTTAATCAGGTTGAAGGAGTCTAATTCTGTAATGAGACATGTATGTATTCAGATTTTTCTGTGACAATTAAATGCATTTTCTTATACTGCTCATCAAATGTGTGGTGTGAAAGGGCCAGAAAAACAAACTCAGCCAGAAATAAGCCCGAGTGTGATAGTTCCATAAATCCTACTGTGATAAACAGTGTCCAATTAGCAGAATTATGACTGCATGCAAATAGAGTACACGCTACCATACACGACTGAGTAAAAGAACTTGTCTGCTTAACTCCTCTGTAAAAGAGTTAGTTGCCTGTGATGATTATGAAAGTGGAACAGCGAAAGTTGATGCATTCACTCATTTTCCCTTCCACAACAGAAGAAATCCCCAGGCCACCTCCACATAAAAGGGCAAGCTGAATTTTGTATTAGCTTGTCTCTTCGCAGCTAATGAAAATGACACGTTATGTCAGCAGCACGAATTTTTTTTCCAAGTATATGCTGGCTGCATAAGAACCAGACCCTGACGTGCCAGGCATTTTGAGAGAGGCAAGCTCAGGATGCTACACCTGAACATTATACTTGTTTCATTTTCCCTGAGGCCAAACAAACTGTCGTTTTAAGGCTGTGTATAGCTTTTTGAGTGATCAAAAACGATCAAATAATCTCAGTAGAGGAGGAAAGCTCAAAAAAAAAAATTAAAAAACAGCCGTCTGGAAAACAGTGAGCTCTCAGTGTTTTCATTGTTAGCGCAGACACTGCCTTTGCTGGACATTTTCAGCTCTTTTCAGGGACGCATTCAGAAACCCGAGCATGCTGCAAACGTCCCAACTGCAACCAAAGCCAACGCACCAGCTCTAGAAACCAGTGCCTTCGGGGACTTATTTTATCCTTAGGCTGCAGATGCTGCAGGGACACCGGCCATCACCAGGCGAGAACAAACGGTGTCCCCCAGGCAGAGCCACCCCGCGGGGCGCCGGCGGACCCTCCCGCCGACCCCGGGCCTGGCTGCACCCTCCGCTTTACCTTGCTGTCCTCGCACTTCTTCACCTGGCCGTCCCTGGCCTGCAGCTGGCTGCTGAGGTGGCTGTAGTCGGCCTCCTTCTGCTCCAGCTGCTTCTTGTGGGAGTCGACCTTGCCCATCAGGTCCGAGTTCCTCTTCTCCAGGCGCCCCCGGGCCACCTCGGTGCGCTTGGCCTGGCTCTGCAGCTCCGCCACCTCCTCCTGCAGCAGGGCCTGGCGGGACGAGGCGTTCCAGCAGTTGAAGGCGAGGATGGCGATCACCACCAGCAGCGCCACGAAGACAAGGGAAGGCAGACGGCCGCCCCTCCGGTTGGCCCCGAAGCCCACCATGGGGGAGGCC